ATCAAACAAATTTATTTGATTAGTTTTAAAATGAAAAACATTCATTACATATAGTACAAATTTTACTATAAAATGTTAAATATCAGTCAGTCTGACCTGGTTAATATTCTCTTGAAAATAATAAAAAAATTCTAACAATCTCAGTTAATCATATTTTGACAAAATCTAGTATAAACATACTAATATTAAAAATAATTTATGTTTTAATGATTAAATAAATTATATATTCAAAATAATTCAATAATTACAAAAAATTGTAGGTACTAAGTATATACTACTAATTTATTAATAAAAGTATATTATACAATTTAAACTTAACAATAATAATAATAATAATAATAATTATATAATCTACCTGTCCCATATCCGTTCCTATCCAGTTCTATCCAGTGAAGTTTTCAATAGCACAAAATTAATGACTGACTAAACTAGGAAACTCTACAGAGAGACATCAGACATGAAAAACATCTTAAGCATTATATATAGCGAGTGTCTGATGGCCCCCGATCCACACAAATGACGTCAGACTATGAATCTTTTACCATTGGGTATAGAGATCTCGTCGGCAAAATGTAGGTCACGTTCAAGTTAACGCGATATGTTCATGACCGATTGGCATGCCACCTAATGAGAAAATGGTGTCGGTCTAATTGAGGTGAACTTGAAAATATGATTTTTATTATAAACTTCGATTGCGAGAGAAAAAAAAAACGCGAGAGAGAGAGTTTCTTTACGGCATTACTCGAGTTGCTGTACACTAACGTAATGCGTTTTATCAAAGAAATCATCCATTATTTAACTCAAACATTACTTAAATTTATCACTAAATTATACATACGTTGAACATTGATGTAGTATTTTTTAGTAGATTACATTGTATATTTGGTATTGCTCAGAACAATATATTTTATATATAAGCCATGTATATTGTGATAGAAATAAGACCATCCATTGCAAATTTTTTTAAGGTGGTAAAGGAATTTATTTTTAAGGGAAAAAAACCCTTAAAAATAAATTTATAATAGTGGATATAACACATTAATTTAAGCAATAATAATGTGAGTGTAATTATTGGTTAATATTGCAGTTCGTTGTTCGTTATTTTTAATAAGAAATGAATATAAATTATTTCATTTCTTTAAAATTATAGACAGGTATATTATTAGTAGTAGTAAATTCCACATCAATACACCTAACTCAAATACACTAGGGCAAAAAGTCATCCCCTCAGAGGATAGCCGTGAACAGAAATGTAAATAATATCAGAATTTTTATATCTTTATTTATTTTTCGATACAATTTTGATATGTAAGATACGATACGATAGCTTCGGAATGGCAGCTATCTTTCCAAGTATCGAAATTAGCATATATTCATGAAATAAGATAAGATGTGGCAACAAAATCGTACGTGTGAGACATTAATAATGGTATTAGTAATAGAATTTTCTATAAATAAAACATAAATATAAAAAGATAAATTAAATTATTGTTGCACGTGTTTTAAGAAAATCAAATAAATAATCATCTAAAATAACTTTGTGTTTAATCTATAAATAAAATTTTTTTAAATATTCACATTTTAAAATGAATAATCGAGAACTAAATATGCTTTTTCAAAAAATTATTTGAAATAATTTTATTATTTTTCTATAATTGTGTTAAAGGATGTAAAGATTGTAGAGCCACGATCGTGATCAATTTTTTTTATAAACTATACTCGAGGCTGATGAGGTACAAGAAGGGAAATCGTGGGGTCAAAGTCAGATTTTTAGGAACATATCGATGTCTCGCGCGTGTAATAACTTCCTGTTTTAGTAAATTAACATAATCTACTAACTTTTTATAAAGTTTTTGAAGTATTTTTATCGATTTTCTTTCAGAAAATAAAGATTTTCGGCAAAATATAGCTGTTTATTTACGAATTCAAAATCATTTTTATCGAATGAAAATTATTTTGAATTCAATTTGCGTGACTCGAATTTTTTTTTTAATTTATTATTAAAAATTTGAAATTATATCTTATTTCGAAATATGTATTAATTTTATTGTTTATTTTTTTAAATTAATATTTATTTTAAAAAATAGATTCGATTTTAACTGTCGAATTTTAGTCAAAAGTTACAGTTTCGGCAGTTTCTAAAAAAAAAAAAAATTTGGAGAAGTAAAACGAGGTCAAGGTCACTTTAAAAAAAGGATGAAAGATTGGATCAAAGAGGCCTTTATAATAGCCAATGGTGGTCTATTTAAAAAAGAATGGACCGAAATTGTGCCCAAGGGTAACAAAAACACACCTCAAACACAGTTCGATGTTTCCTAATATCATTTTTTAAAAAGATGAACGACATTTCGAGGCGTTGCACCCAAGCTTTTTTAGAAAAGGAAGTTTTCATTTCTAATGTTCTTGTTAAGATGATGTTTTTTTGAATAATATAAAATTAAAGAATCTTGTAAACACATGTTATAACTTATACGAAAAACAATATACGTAGTATTCTAATCATCATTACAAATGTTTGCATATTTAGAACATTAAAATTGATCTAAAATTCAGTAAAAGTGTTGAACACATATAAAATATTCACGAATTAATTTTTCTAATAATTAAAATATACCCACATTTAAAAAAATAAAGATAACCAATATCAACAAAAGTAATTATATATCTAACAACATGATCTTAATTATCGTTAAATTTCGATCTAATTAAATTAACAATTGTGTTTAATGATCGATAATAAATATTTTAAAGCATTTTAATTAGATTAAATTTATTAACATAATAAAATTGTCTAAAAGATATAAGTTTGAGTCTATGTAAAATAGGAAAAGGAGAAACTCCACCCTTATTGATTTCCATCTTATCAAAAAGCTGAAAAAGGAAATAAGTTTTTCATCTGTCTGATGGAAAAATCAGCCTCCTTCTCCATTTTTTCCGGAGGAAAACATTAAAAATCAAGGTCATATTTATGAAAAATTGTTTTATGATAAGCTTACATTCTTATGTTTACTATAGATAAGGATGGATGCAGTTCATAGCGGTATAAAACATTTTATAAATTCTTTTTAAATGGTTAAAGTTATTTAAATTCAATTTAAGATTATTCTTAATTTATTTTAGAAAAGGTATCTTGTTATTCGAAATTTTAATGCTCAATGTTTCTATAAGTTCGTATCATATTAGTATAAAGAAGATAACGAGTGATGGAACTAAGACGATAAAAGCAATTAAAGATGTTAAAGAATTTAAATTCATTTAGTAAGCTAGAAAAAAATAGTCTTCTGATCTTGATAAATTTTAATAAAAATTCATGTGAGGAAATTATGTATTTTATTTACATAGTCTATACAATGTTCTTACATAAATTTTAACTTAACTATATACAATCCTCGTACAAACAATATATCCTATATTACATTAATTTATTACTTGTACAGAATTGAAGAGAAGATTCGCTGTAATATTTATAGCTTAGACGATATAAATAATTGCATAATAAATTTATTAATCACTAGTGAGAGAACCGTGTGAAAAGACCTCCTAGCAAGAAGTAGGGTGCACATCCTACGTAAAAATGTGGGTAAGTAGGACTAAGGATTGCATTTTCAGACAACACGTGGTCGTTTCACAAAATTTCTATACAAAACATATTAACTCAACTATATTAAAATTCATTAATATTTATTTTGCTTAAGATTTTTTTGTTATTTTAAGCTTAAGATAACAACAAAAAACTTAAGCAAAATATTGATAAATATCAAACAATTGGGAGTCATAAAGTTACAATTTTCGGCAATTCGTAGGTACAGCAATAAGTATTTAATACAGAAAACAAGAAACGATTTGTTGTGAAAATGTTCTGGTTCTATCAACAAATCTGCAAAGTGTTAAGTATTCACATCATCGCTCGCATTGTTAGAATGACAAGTACAATTCGTACAAAGAATGCACATTTATCTATGTTATGGATTGACTTGTGATGTGAATAGGCCATACGTAGAATGAACGCCCGAGGCTCGTTCTTGGTCTGCGAGTAATGTTATGCCCTAAATTTGGATTCTGCCTCGTTCNAAAAATAAAATTATAAAAACTTACTCGGTGAAATAAAATGTGTGGTGGATATACATACTCGGTACAAAACATTCTTCAATTGTACGAATATACTTTTAAAGAAAATTATAATTAAATATAGCTTTGTAATGAAACGTACATAAAAACAACATAAAATATTCTTTACTCTTTAAATCTTAACCACTTAGTCAAATAGCTTCCTACGAGTGGAATCAGAGACGGTCCTGCTAGTGCGCGGTGCGTACATGCACGCGGGCTGCCAAATCCCCAGGGTGCCCATACCGGTCAATTTCAAATGTCTCTTTTGTCGCATCACTAATATACCTCAAAAGACGAGACAGGGTTCTTGTAAATTTTAAACATTTCTCACCATAGCTATAAAAGTCTAAATATGTTAAACTTAATTGTCCGTCGATTGTCCGTCGTTTGTTTTCTAACTAATTCGTTTTAGGACCGGGTGTTATCCACGGAAATTTCCAAAATTTACAACTTTTCGGTTACTCTCGTCGAACTGGAAAAATGTCTGTCTTTATTACATCTAATATTTCGAAAACATCAGTTCCACTGTACTCGGCTAGAGATTGGTTCGGTAAAAAATACAGGAGTTATTAGACTTCAAACAGGATGAACAAAAAATCGTGCTCCATNAATAATACATTTAAAAGTATTATTGTTATTAATACATTAGATGACACATCGGGACGAGTATTTGATGCGAGAACTTTAAAATAACGCCGTCGATTTCGGAGTGAACTTTTGCAGGATATTTAAATAAACATTAAAGAAGGAATAAAAGTAACAACACTTGGCATTTAAATAACAGATAGATTAATGTGTTTTGATAGATTTAATTATATGTAATCGGTATGTTTACAAATTTGTAAAGGGTGTGAGAAAATGGACACACACACACAATATGTAATTCTTACCTGATTATTTTCTCCGATTAATTTCTCAATAGATAAGAGATGTTGCGTCAAGACAGTCTTCTGGTCAAAGGTGAATGCGGGATGATTGAGAGCCATTGTGATGACCAAAAGCATTTCATTGAGCGATCTTTGATCAGTAAATAACTCAATACAATCCAAATGTTTTGACAATGTTTGGTAAAGAGCATTTGAGCAAACATGATTAGAAGAATGAAGCAGTGCCAGAGACACGATAAACTTACACCTGGTCACGTTGTCTTTAAGATCGATTAGTTTTCTGATTTCGTTTACGTTATTTGCTTTCTGTTCTGCTTCTTGAAAACAATAAAAATCTTTTTTACCTAAATCTTCTAAACATGTTCCTAAAAATCTTAGCTCCAGGGGATAACACATGTTTAACAATCCACAAACAATTCCTATACGCTTGGAACCAGTTAATTCTTTGAACCACATGAATACTTCTTCTTTACAAACCATGGCTTATACAGACAATTATTATTAACTTTAATAATTACGTTTCAATATTTCTTCATCTGAGTCGCCATCTTGTCCGTCTTGACAAGAAGGATTCGCCTTACATCCGGGGATCGCGATCCCTCATCCAATAGCGATGAGGGAAAGTTCTATCTCTAGGTAATCTCGATAGCAGGATGTTAAATTTATTTATTTATTTATTATTTTTTTTATCTTCTGAAAATAAATTCGATAAAATTAAATATTCACTAGTTAAATTATTTATTAAATAGTATTTAATTCTTTCTACAAACTATATTTTTTAAATATATTTAATACATAAATATATAAAATGTAATCGATAAAACAAACCTTTAAGCGTTGAATTAGACCTTTAAAAATGTTAAATATGTTCAATTTTAATAAATTTAATCAAAACTAAATGCTAAAAATATTTTTCAATTCTATTCTTATAAGCTTCGACTTTCTTATGAAACCAGAACGCTCATTCGTTTCATTCTAAAATTCAAAATTTGAATCAACCAATAGTTTCTCTTACGATTGCGATTACGGGATCAAAATTTGAAAAACGATTAACATTGGCGAAAAAAATGTATCATTTAAAATCTTCTAAATACTTTAAATAAGTATAATGTTTCTGGTGGAAGAATGTTTTTGATTTAGATGCTGATAAATTCTAAGAGTATCGCTAATTCAAATAGAACATCCCCAATGTATCATTTATATAACGTGCCCCGTTTGCCCCTTCTGCTGACGCCCGTGCTTATCAACTACTTCCCATTATATCGCTACTTAGCAGTGGCGTGCCGTGACATTTGATGATAGGGAAGCTCTGTTTCTGTAAGAAAAGCCGACTTCCAGGGGCAATCAGTTAATTGCTCGTCAGTGATGGTCAAGGGTCCAATCTTATTCGTTTGTTCGATAAGACAGTAAAAACCGTAGACTTCTCTAAATGTATTTTTAATGTTTGTAGGCTATATAATAACGTTTTTAACATTAAAAAAGCGATTATCTCTCATTTCGAAACAAAAAGAAAGGCATATCTGTATATAGCAAAGTTAAAATTTTTATTTCATTTAATGATTAAACTATACAAACGTCCGATGCGAAGCGAAAGTTACGTTATTTCAATTGAAAACTTCTCCCTGAAAGCAATTAATAGATGACCGGCGCGACTCTATTGTTAAAGGAAAAGTGTGATGTACAGGGGCAAGCCATTACTAATAATTTGACGTGGAGAGCATATATTTTAAATTACAAAAATTAAAAATATGATTAAAATTTCATCCAGGTATTGTGACGATGTCACAATAAATAATGAAAAATTTATATAACAAAATCTAATAACAGATGGCGCCACACCCAATTTTATTTATTATAATATAATTAAAAATATAAAAGTTATTTTCTAAATAAAATCTCACAAAAGCCGAGAAAGTTACGCAACTCGTTGGTTTTGATAGATTTTTTTTTTATAAAAACAGTTACATTTCTTGGAACGAAGGATCTTTTTCTCAGTTTCAATATAGAAAGATCTACGTATATTTGATTGTTTTCTGTAAAATACGTACACGGTCAGGTAAATTCATAAAATTCGCTTATTTACTATACAAGTTACTTTAACGTTTACGTAACTAAACTATAACACGAATATTTAACTAACCCCTTGTGGAGAATGAAATTAATGAAATTAGTTGATAGAATCAATCATCAACCAATTAAAAAACATACAAAAAATCAAACGATTTAAAATATTAATACAATTACGGAAATTATATAGAAAACCACCTATGGAATTTCGGGACTTTGAGTATCTATCTGAACTGAGGGGACCGAGACGACTTCGACGATACCCTACTTTTAGACCAAAGACGAATAATAATAAAGTTATCATACTTTTCTGGTGATGGCATGATATAATTGTGCAGTTAATGTTACCTATGGTGAGTAAAATGGCGGCTCGTCTCTNACAACTTTTCGGTTACTCTCGTCGAACTGGAAAAATGTCTGTCTTTATTACATCTAATATTTCGAAAACATCAGTTCCACTGTACTCGGCTAGAGATTGGTTCGGTAAAAAATACAGGAGTTATTAGACTTCAAACAGGATGAACAAAAAATCGTGCTCCATACACACACACACACTAACATCCGTACATACAGAAAACCCCAATTTTTTTACATTTCTCGACGTCTCAAGATTCCCCGAGTCCAATAATATGTTCGGGATTATTTTTTGACCGATACTTGATAGTAAAAATAAAACGAGCAATTATTTATCGAGTAATTTATAATCGTATTTTAAATATATTTAATTTAAAGTATATTCTCTCCACCTCAAATTAGTAGTGACTTACCCCTGTTCATTATACTTTTCCTTTAACGATAAAGTCGTGCCGGCAATAGGGTCTAACACCATTCGGGAAACATTTTGAATTGAAGTAACGTAACTTCCGGTTTGCATCGGAAGTCGTGTAGAGTTAATCGAAGCCTCCCATCCCTAAGGTATTCACGTCTGGTCTCTTTATAGATTTCGTGAAACATTAGAACATGAATTAAATACGAAGATGTAAGAAAATGCTACGAGCATTCTGTTACTCTAAAAGATAATGTACTTCCTATCAAATTGGTTCCATTTTTTCTTTAACTAATAATAAGATCGACCCTCATCCTCTGTATCACTCACACCCATTTCATTAACAACGGACGAATTCATTTCTTCATGGCTATGTTGCTTATTCGCGATTCCGGAAGAGACAACTGAACTACTTCCGGAGATATCGGCTCCTGTAGAGAACCTGAACATATTTTTGAGTAGAGCCATTCAAGTGTAATGTCATTTAACACAAGCCGAAGACACAGAAAAATCAAAGTATCTATTATCTATCTAACTTTATTAATTCCGAGGAATTAATAAAGTTAGATAGATAGTTAGAAGAAAGTTGCCATTAAAATTCCGAGGAATTTTAATGGCAACGAAAGAGAAATGTACATTTAAAACAATGACAAGACTTTGTAAAAAAATTCTCCAAAAGCTCATTTTAATATACGCAAATGAAATTTCATACATTTAATCACGTGATTTCATATTAAATGTAATTATATCACAATGAATTACAACAATTCTTAACAATAAGCTGTGTTTAACAATATTGTATTGTTGAGATTGCGAAGCGAAAATGGTGCGCTACTTAAAGAAGTTTTTCTTGCGAATGCGAAGTAATAAGGAGAAGAAGAAAGGGTACATTTCCTCATTAATTACATTTATAATTGAGATTTATACGTAGTATAATATTAATTACGATATAATCGAATTTCCTTACAGGAGAGATGATGATGCTGAGCCAAGTGGTCAGCAAGTTACAGATTGTCCTACAAAGGTAAGATATTACTCTTTGTCTAGGAAAATCAACGTTATTTATAACTAAGATTGAGTTAGTCTTTATTTTTCTAAAGAAGTTTTAAATACTTTTTTCCGATAACGTTACAAGCGTAAACGACTTTTATTATTGATTTTTCTTAGTTGGACGAAAATTGTCTTGGAACAAATTGTCTCCATTCAAATAGAGAGGATTCACAGTTCCAGACAAAGAAAAGAAAATTTATAGAATTCTGCAGGAATGCATTCTATAAATTCTGTTGTTGTTGTCGTATGTCGGGCGAGATTTCCGATTCACGGGTAAGTTCTCGTTCTTTATACAATCCTCTAATTTAAACAAGTTAATAATTAAAAGATTCTGCGATTTTAGAACTGCGAATTGGAAAATAATCCGGCACGTTCTCAAATTCGACTTGATTCATCGAAATATGATGAACACATTCTTAATGAAAATTACGAGTTTAAAGAAATAGGAAAGGGAAATTTCGGTACAGTTTTTTTGGCTCGGTGTAAAAATTCGGATGAAAAAGTGGCTTTGAAAGTCGTCAAGATGAAGCGCTTTTGTCTCGCACAGGTATGCTTTAAGCTTTGTTTCGATTGTAATACGGCGTTTATTAAATTATTCTTGACATCAAAAGTCATCAATTCACACATCATTTATGTTATTACACGTTTATCAAAATTTATTTAATTATTGATGATGCACTAAGCTATGTTCTATAGACATTAATTAGAAATATCTACAGAATATTCTTAGTTTAGTGTATATTAAGAAAATGTCTTTATTTATAGAGGCGCGAGATAAAGAAAGAAAAAACTGCGTGGACGTCCGCATCGAGCCATCCCCATATTGTGACGTTAATAAGTTATTTCAAAATGAATACAAGGTAAATTTTAACCTTTTTCATTCGATTTATTGGCAATACTTTACGCTTGTATAGACTAATAATTCTTTTCTTCAGTTTCTGTTTCGTCTCAGACTACGTGGACGGACAGGACTTGACAACTTACTTACAGTACAATGAATTTCTGGAGGAAGCCGAAGCCAAAATATTTGCTGCTCAAGTGGCTTCGGCTATCACGTTTATTCATAACAAAGGTGATTTTCTAAATATATTTATTTATTCATTTCTTCATAAATGCAAATTGTATGACGAATTTGTTTCTGTCTTCGACAGGAATAATTCACAGGGACATTAGCTCCAGCAACATCATGTTAGATAAAACAAAAGGAGCACAGTTAATCGATTTCGGTCTGTGCACGGTAAGTATTGTATACTTTAATGTCCTAAGTTTCGTAGAGGTACACATTTCATACGACATTGTCGTTTCTTTCCGTCAGTATGAACGAAATCCCAAAGACTATTGCGGGAGTTTGTTTTATGTTTGTCCAGAAATTCTTGAGAAAAAACCGTACGGTAAGGTGCTCTATTCGAATTTAATCGAATCATTTCGTTTAATTGCTGTAATTAATATGTATTACGTTTAGATGCTTACTGCGATTGGTGGGCATTTGGAGTCATATTACACGAGATGTTAATTGGACAAACTCCAATGGAAATTTATTTGAAAAAAATTAACAATATTGACAAAATGGACCTGACGTCCCTTATCGAGATAGCCAAAAGTAAGCCATCGTTATTTTTAATTTGTTAACAATAAAGTGAAACGATGTGATTAATGTAAGCGTGTCTTTTCAGTGGCTCAAAATGTTCAGTTGCAGTATCCTATGCGACTGTCGATGAATGCCGTAGACATGATCGAGGATCTACTACGAAAGGTAAGATTATAATATTTACTGTAATTATATTTCATTACATCTCGAAGTATTAAATGCTAGTATTTATGTTGTTCTATACGAGAATTTCATAAATGTTATGTAGTTAATAAGAAACGCGTTCATTTAATAACATAAATACATTTCAACACACTTTCTGAATAATTAGGTGAATATTTGAATAACTAATTCAGTTTGTTTAATTAACACAGTTTAATACTTAATTTCTATGTTTTTTATAATCAAATTTTAATGAGTAATCAGAAGTTGAATAGCAACTGAATCAACTGTTGTAATTAAGTTTTATGATTTCTTGTCTTTTCAGGATCCGAAC